CTAATGTTTAAAAGTGCGGAATCACTTTGTTGTGCGCCTGAAACTAATGTAATATGGTATGTCGGATTTAATTAAAAAAATAAGGAGTGTGGGCTCTGAATCGAGTATGCCTAGGTTTGTGGGTTGCTCCTCCTCTGACGGCCTGTGTGACTCTGAGCAGCTCCCCTAGCTTCTCTGTAGTCTCTGCTTTCCCACCTCATCAACTAGGATTATTTTACATTGAGCCTGCTATCACAGTTGAGGCATCTTGGGCACAGAGAGGTTAGGTCAGCTACCCCAAGTCATTCAGGTAATACGTGTTTGAGCCCCAAAGGCAAGGAATACTCAACAAGTCCAAACTGAACCCATCCACAACCCCTCCCCACATAGCTGCACCTCCTCTACTGTTGCCTAACTCAGGGCAAGGCAGCCTTCTCCCCAGCTGCTTAGGCCAGAGATCCTTAAGGCCATCCTTGCCTGCTGCCTCTCTCTCACCACCCTCTCAGTCATCAAGCCCCACCTTTCTGTCTCCTAAGTCTTTCTAAGCAAGATCCTGACACTTCTCTCCATCGGCACAGTGAGTTCCACGTCACCCTCATCTCTCTCCTTGACCACCACCAGCAATCCTGATGTTTTCCAACGCATTGTCTATCCTACTGCCTGAGGAAGCTTTCTTAAGTCCTAACTTGGGCATGACAGCCCTGCTCAAAACTCTGCAGGGGCTGCCCGCTGCTCTTAGGATAATGTCCAGCCTCCTGGACTAAGCACAGCAGGCCTTGCCTGCCCCCAAACGCCTGATCTTCACCAGACCCCCTCCTTCTGCTCCAAGCCCCACTTGATATTCCAGCGCACCCAGACCTCTTTCTGTTCATCAGATGGCTGGTGTGCTCACACTCGTCCTCCCTCGCCCCCCCTGCCCGCCCCCTCCCGGCCCCCACCACCCACAGATTTCACAACCTCACATGTGCTGTTCCCTCCATCTTACATGCCCTTCCTCCCTCCTCATCTGTCTGATTCCTTCTTAGGTTCAGCTGTCAGGCTGGGTAGAGCAATTTCCATTTTTCCTGAGGAGTACCTGGATGAAAAGCCACAGTTACCAGATTTGATATTTTTACCGAATGGAAGGTGACGGAGATTTCATTATGAATTCCCCACACGGACACACGTTTTACTGTGGTTCACAGTGAGCTGATTTGAAATGCAATCTGATGGCTGAGTTTTTCTGGGAAAGGCTTCCTTGCTAAGAACAGGATACAGACAGAAAAGCTCTCTCGCCTTATGTTATACGGGCCCACTGTTGCCTTTGAATATGACCTTTGGAATTTGGCCACAGTTTTGGAAGCATAGAGGGATCCAGGGTGACCACCTGCTTCACAGTGAGGAGGGATAAGCTGAACAACGGGAAAAAAAATCTGTCACTTTATGGTATCTGTGACCCAGTAAATTGAACAGGCTTTGAACTGCCCTACCCATGGACTTTGTTTTGATGAGATTTTCACTATAGTTTATAGTCCGAGTTTCTGTTAGGACAGGAGAAAGTATATTAACGGGTCCTCCCCATGCAAGGGTTTGATTTACTAGTCCCCTGTGGTCATCAGGGAGGCAAGGATCAGCTGCGCGCTCAGTATGGGGACCCTCTTAGGGAATCTGACAGCACCTTCCTGCAACTCCTTAGGTGTCCCCACTGCTGGTTCTGCCTGTTACAGACTCAACTGTGAGGACTGACTTCATTCAGTACAACTCCTCTGAGCAGAGCACACCTAAGTATGAAATGAAGTGTGTGCCTTTGATATGTAAAGACAATTAAAAAGATGGAAATGGCACCAGTTCCACCGCCACTACCCCAACCCCCACCCCAGCCAGAGGGTGGAGTAGATGCCCAGAGGCCCCCGGCATGCTTGCGTCCACACTGATGTGTCCCTAACACAGGGCGCAGTGTAAAATGGTTCACCCGGAGCCTAGTTACTGAGCTAACGGGAGCCGGGCATATGCGGTTTTACTCCCCATAGATCCAGAGAAGTATCAACCCCCGCCTTCCATAGACAAGGAAACAAGCTCAAAGAGGTTAGGTCGCTGATGCAGTAAAGGCTGGATCTGGCAGTCAAGCCCTAGTTCTGCCCGACTGCAAAGCCCGTCTTCTTTGCGGTCACGACAACCCACTTGGCTTGTGATTCAGGTGCCGAGATGCAGATGTTGTTCCGTGACAGGAAAGTCATCATTGTCCCAATACCATGTCCACCTGTGAAATGCAGGAACCCAGTAGGGCAAAGCCACCCTGAAAGGTTCTAAGACGCTCTCTGTGTTTGCCTTCGCAGGAGCTGCCTTGCAGCCAAGAAACTGGAGTCCACCGGCGCAAAAGGATTGCCTCAGAGCCAACGGCCGGGCAGGACTTCAGCCTCCCCTGTGGCGGGGGGGCACTCTGCCATATCAGAGAGGCTTTGCAATCAACCCTCCCCCAGTTATATCTCCACCAGTCTCACTCTATTTATCAGATGGAAGGAACTGAGAGGCAAGGAGAGGCAGAGGAAGTGTTTTTAGTGGCTGCATGACAGCTCTGGAGCTGACCCAGCTGCCATGGTGGTCTGGAGCCAACAGACTGAGAATGGAAATCTGGCTCCACCCGTGTTCATGTCTCTGCTCTTCAGCTTGTGTCTGTAAACTGTGGGTGATCGAAGTGCCACCTGAAGAACCTCCCCACCCCTGAGAAGTGTGTCCTGACCAAACACCCACACACCACACACCCCCGACCCCCGACCCCGCACACTATGGCAGGGGGTCAGAGGCTCTCTTCTGTGTTCCTAGGGTTCTATGATTTAAATCCTGCCATGGCTTTTCTCACACAACAGGGGGCAGTCATCTGCTTGCAGGTTGCAGCCCCCATCATCCCTGCATCCCCAAACTGGCCCCAGTAGCGGAGACCTAGTGTCTGGTCGGTGCTTCGAACTTGTTTCCTCAGTGAATGAAGGACCTCGACTCAAATGTACTTGGTCAATAAAGGGTAGCTCTTCTTGGACCAGTTATTTCTGCGTTAAAAATGACACAGGAGAATGGAGTAAACAGGGCATATCTCGAGTCAGATTCTCTTCCCTTTGGTGGGGGGAGGAGCATTGCATCTTTCATACGATCCCTAATTCCGGAAACTCCTAACCAAAGAGGCTGCAACGTTCATTACACACGTGTGGGTCACTCTGTTGCCCCATCAGCCACAGTTCTGGCCTCACAGTGGAACTTGGGTCAAGATCCTTAAAGCACCCGTCAGTTCACTGAATGTTTCCCAAGTACCAAGTGGCTGGTGCCCAGCGTAGGCCCCGCAACTACGTGTCCAATCGATGGACTGTTGAATGAACGCAGGCTGCTAGTGGAGTCTGTGATGCTGTGCCCAGAGCACAGGTGGCCATGGAGTCAGGGACCTGAGCTCAGTTAGGAAGGGCATGTCAAGTCCAGGTGAGGCCATCAGTCTCACTCGGAGCTGCCCCTCACGCGGTCCTCCTAGTTCCTTGCTTGCTCCACCTCGACTCTCTCTGCTCTTCCCCCACGTCCTGCCTCTCACTCCTTCTAAGGCCTGGCACAGGCTTGTCATTCAGTATCTATGATCCCTCCTTGTCCTTGTCAGTCAGCTGACTGAGCAGATACCCAGCTGACCATTTTTTTTTGTTTTTTATGTATCCCCAGACATCCAGCACAGTGCCTTGACCATAGTTGGAGCTTGGTGAACGATTCAATGAATAAAGTCACTGTTTGTCACACACACACACACACACACTTACCATCAGACTTATCCGGATCAGTGCACAGTGTCTGGGCAGCCACCCTGACCTGGATTAGGACATAAGGAGCACTGGTAGTTTTGCTAGAGGGCAACTTTGAGCTTCCCTCAGGTGCCACAGCACCACTCTCAGCAGGGCTAAGAAGCTGTTTGTGTCTGTTAGGGGTAAAGACTGAGACTTCCTGCCTTCAGACACTCAGCACCCCCTGGTTAGGGTTGATGGCGGTTCCTCAGAACGCTCATCACTAAAGTGCCGTGACGCCCTCCCAGAGCTCAGACCAGGGAGCCTTCTCCCAACAATAATGGAGTACCCTACCCTGTTACAGAAATGGGAATTATAGCTGTTTACCCCTCTTAATGTGGTTCCTCCCCTTTGCATTCACGTCCACATCTCTTCCTTGAGTCACCCAATCCAACTCTGCTAATTCCCAACGGGTTACTGCACCAAGCTGCACCTGCATCTCACTTGCTGTGCATGGCTCTATCTGGGAGGGTCGGATCTACCTACTGAGCTACGTATTTTCTGTCTCCCTTCCCTTCTGAATCTGGAGGCTCCCAGGCACCAAGAAAAGTGCTCCAGTTGGCCCACAAAAGGGGGCGGTGCTGCAGGGGAGGCTGCGACTCTCATCCACAGCCTGGGTCAAAGCAGGACTGCGTTACAAGCGCCACACGCTGCCCCACTGCGCCACGGGAGCCAAAAGAGCAAAGGTCTAAGAAGTCCTAATACAGACACTTATGTGGATAGAACACCAGTCTCTTCCTAGGGACCTGTGAGTTGTTGTTTGGTTTGGGCTTATATTGTCCGTGGCCTTTTTCACAACGCTTGCAGACTTAGCTAACCTTCCATCAGGACCTCTCTGCTCCCCCCACACCCCACACCCCCCACTGTACCAAAGATCATACTCCTCACGTAAGTGTGCTGACTGGGTTTTCACTTGGCAAGGATACCAAAACAATTTTTTTTCATCATGAAACGTCAAGATACCTAAGAGAACAGGTCTTCAGAAAAACTAGTTTTAAATTATAATGGAAAAACTGGCTACGTAACAATGAAGATACAGCACATTAAAAGGTTATTTGGGGGCTTCCCTGGTGGTGCAGTGGTTGAGAGTCCGCCTGCCGATGCAGGGGACACGGGTTCGTGCCCCGGTCAGGGAAGATCCCACATGCCGTGGAGTGGCTAGGCCCATAAGCCATGGCCACTGAGCCTGCGCCTCCGGAGCCTGTGCTCCACAACGGGAGAGGCCACAAAAAAAAAAAAAAAAAAAAAAAGGTTATTTGGGCATTATCTAGAATTTCACACTCAAGAGAAAAACACTTAATATGTGGTCTACTGCCTTCCAGGTTTTTTCTCTGCATTTTTAAAAATTAGGAGATGGGGGGAGGTAATGTCTTCATACTTTTGTGTCTGTTGTTCTGTTTATCATTATAGTATGGTTATGCTGCTTCCCATAATGATGAGGATGAGGATGCTGATACTGATGTCGGTAGAAGCAAAGACATGTATAGAGCTTGACATGGACCAGGAACTGTTCTCTGTGACGTGTGCATATTGACACGACACCCCGTGGTCTTTCACACACTTAGGAGACATCATGCTCAATCCATACACAGATCCATGGTAATCTGATTCATGCCGATGGACATGTTCACTTGCCTTTTGATCCAGAGGACGCTGGACACTGCAGTGTATTCCAGATTTGGGGGTCAGATACCACACCTCTCTGTTTCTTTCAGGCCTGCGTAGCAATCTGACTCAGTTCTTGCCGGCCAGGTGACTTTGGGCAAGTTCCTTCACCCGTTAACCTCTACATGTCTCAAGCTTCCTCATCTGCAAAAAGGGATGATAACATTAAAAATGCTTACCTCATAATGTTGCTGTGAGTACTCAGAGACCTTATTACACTTATACATATAGAGAGTTAAACACAGTCCAGAGGGGTGAGCTTTTATTCCTGTGTCTCTTCACTTTGGTTTCTGCTTGTACTCATATCCCTCTCTCCCTGCCCCCATTGCTTTCTCCTCAACCACTCCCGCTCCACTCTCTCTCCCCTTTGCCCCCCTCCTCAGACTCTCCATCCAAAAACACTGTTTACCATCTCCTCAGGATGTAACTCAGAAAATATTCATACCATCACCCTTTGGTTAAAAAAACGTGAATATTAGTGGAAGAAATAAGAAACACCATAAAACCGGCAATGTGAAAACTACACAAGAAATAAAGTCCTACGGATGAAAGTTTGAGTATTAATACTTTTGTATCTTCATCAGATTCAGATATTCAGAATTTGATACAGGAGAATTAGGCTTCATAAAAATAATGCCCCCCCCCAAAAAGGGCTATATGATGAGGTCCTTGGGCCTTTAAATTTCCCTCTGGAATGCTTTTTAAAATGTATATACTCATGTTCTACTACAATCGTCCAGTGATCACTTACTTTCCCATCATTATACAAATCATACGAAGAGGTCATTAGACTTCTAATTTCCTAGAGAATAGGCACTAAACTTTTCCATACGAGCCCCTGGTGAAACCCCAGCATTGTATTTAGGCTTCACAATATCCCCATAAGGAGAGTTAAATACTCATTATGCTAATATATACACACACACACACACACACACACACACACACACATACCCACACCCATGCCCCATACATTCAGTTCTTGAGTCCCTGAGGGGCTGAAGTGATAGTGCAAAGTCCATGTGGTGAGCCAAAGGTGGTCTTGACATTGTCTCTCTGGAACACTCTCCAGGGAAATGTGGGAACGGTAACAATATTAACAGCAGTAATGACAACAGCTAGAATTCACCAGGAACTTGTCACATGATGAGCACTGTCCTGACAACTTCCCATGTCTTAACATGGTCAGTGCTCTAAGCTGCCCCAAGAAGTAGTTACATTTACTCCTAACTAGTGTTTCCATGTTACTAATGGAGGAATTGAGGCACAGAGATGCTAAGTAGCCCGCTCAGTGTCACCCAGCTGTAAGGGGTGGAGCCATAGGTCTGTGGAGGCATTGTGGAAAACTCAAGTGTGTTCTGTATTTATTCAGTCAAGGGCAAGGTCCAATGGCTACTGCAAAATATGTAGAAAAACAGCTAACACATAACACAAATTGACCTTACAGCATGGAACTGCACACTAAATAGAAATCTGGTTTCTTCAGAAATCTTTTAGATGGAGGCTTGACAGGATTGGAATCAGGATGTTTTGTGGAAACAATGATCTGAGAGCCTCCTTAGAACAGCAGACAGCATGTCAGTCTCCTAGCCTGAAGGTCTTGGGTTTGTGCATCAGAGAAGGCAGCAAACCTCTGTCACCTCCACATGCTCCCGATGGAGAGAGAAACCTGCCAGTAGGGAAAATAAGACCGTTCCTCTGCTCTGGTAGTACCCAGACAAGTTGTCCATGTCAGTCAGAACTGAGGAATTATAAATAAAAAAAAAAACAAACACCAAAAATGCAGATTCCATGATCCGCACTCAGTGAATCTCATTTAGTGTGGCTACAACGGTGCCCTAGAATCTTTGATTTTTTCACTCTGCCTGGGAAACTCTCAGGAACTTTAATAAACTCCTTTGGTAGCGAGACTGTCTCCAATGTACTGACTCTTCCCAGGATAAACACACAGTCGGGAAGACCAACCTGAGAGCACAGGAGAGAGAACGTAAAGGACACAGCGTGAGAGTCAAACCACGGGCAGGGCAGTGGATCTTCCGAGAAGACATCACCACCCCACTGGCCTGTCTCTCTGAGGCTTCAGTTTATCTCAGATCCATTCTCTTCATGGCCAGTGGATGGAGGTGGTGAGAGGAGATGACCTTTGAGATCCCACATGGCCTGGGCTTTTCTCGGGGGCCGTGGGACACAGACGATATGAGGTTATATGATCTATTCTCCACACCTCCAGTCAGCCTCTGCTTCTCTCTTGCACCCTCACTCCCTCCATGCCACACAAGCCCAGAGCAACCAGAATTTAGGAAAAATGTCTTCCCTTCACCGATCAGACACCTGCCCCTGACCTGAGGAGATCTTCTCCCCTCTTCTCCTCTCAGCTGTCCTCCTCTGATCTGATCTGCCGTGCCGAAGCAGACAGCCTTCCCTAGTAGCTTAAAGCCCTCGCCTGGCCCGTGACTCTGGTGACGCAGCCTGGAGAGGGCTCGTCCTCTCTGAGAAGGACCCCAGACCCGGGAGCCAAGAGCCATGACGACCACAGAACCATCCTAAACACTGATGCCCACGGCAGTGATTGACCTTGGAAACGAAGCCTTACCTCACACCCCGTCTGTCCCTGAACCATTATCTTGTCACAGAAAGCAAGACAGACGAGGAAGGTGTCTGGAATCCTTCCTGGGGAGTCCTGTGTCCTACTCCATGCTACTTCCCCTGACCAAACCCTGACGTGGACCATATCATTCCTTTCCTTTTGATGGGAATAAGAGGTCTGGGGATACCTTCACAAAATCCTATTCTCGTGGTTGATAACCAGTATGTTATGTGGTTTACTACCACAATGGTGCACCTGGTAAGTAGGTGGAAGCTGACAGGAAGTTTCAGAGGGTAGGTCTGGGTGCTGAAATGATTGGGAGGAGCTACCGGCATCTGTGGGCTGAGGGTTACAGGGAGGCAAACACTTTTAAGCAGAGAGTTAAATAAAGTGGATTTTCCATAATTGTAATTTCCCCGTGAATTAAGGGAAGCCTGAATGTTGCTTTCTCTGGAAACTTACAAAGAATCCTTGAGTGTTTTAGAGAACACATACTGAAGGCAATTCTCTTACTGGCCTTGAGCTTCATGCAACACACCAGTGTCGCTTGGTAGCTGAGGTTGTACACACCTACAGGAATGAGGGGAATCCAGCTGTACTGACTAGACGGATCTTCAGGATATGCTGTTAATGGATGGGAAAAATTACGTGGTAAATGCTCATAGTGTGATCTGCCATGGGTTGCTGAACAAAGCCAGATAAGCCCATTGTCTTTGAGGCACCGAGGTTTTGCTTCCATGTCTGTCTCCCTCACCAGACTTTTAACTCCTTCTCAGAAGGCTGGAAACACATCCCGTTCATCCTGGTGTCCTCAGGGCAGAGGACCTGAGACACGGTAGAAAGTCAGTCCACACTTGTGGAGCTGACGTAACGGGTGAAGGACTGGACCCAGTGTCTTAATGACGAGCGAGAAGGATGTCAGTCTGCAGAGGGAGGGAGGGGAATGCCACAGGTCTTAGGACCCAGGCAGCGCAGTGACACCAGCCTACACTGCAGTACTGATGTCAGTTACATCCCTTAGGGTTCCAGGACTCAGCCATTTAAATACAGGTGTCATTAACCATGAAGGTCTAACTTAGAAAGCCAGGAACCTTGCTGCTTAGTTTTTTGTATGAACCTTTTGTAGCTGAGGCACCTGAGGCACCAATTCAGGCACAGCATACTCTGGTCACTACTCGTCCAGGCTGAGGCTGCGTCGGGATATTCAGGGCTCACACACAAGAAGGGTAATTCCGAGGCATACATGTATCCCTAGAAACAAAGGGTTCACAACTGCTAGGTTGCCCCGAGCAGGACATACATCAGGCAGGTAGGACAGCTCCCTGGGGCCCCAGTGTGGCCTCCCACCCAGGGACCTGCCCCCCTAGGACTCCCTGTCCAGTTTGAATAATCCATCTGAGGCCTTAGTTTCAGAGGCACTGCCTGGAGGCAGCCCGTTCCAAGCAGTTCTGTCTGTCCGGGACCCCAGCGCATCCTCTTTCCGAGGGTGGCTGACACCTGGAGGTGCTCTGCATGCACCGTCCAGGGGCTGGGGCCACTCCTGCGGTCCCACAGTCAGAGCTCCCTCAGGTGTGACTGCAGCCTCAGCAGACAGTTTGCATTCAAAGTGCTCACTGGATTGGGATTGACATATATACACTAATATGTATAAAATAGATAACTAATAAGAGCCTGCTGTATAAAAAAAATAAATAAAGTAAAATTCAAAAAGAAAAAGAAAAAGTGCTCACAGCAGCTTGGAAGGCTGCACGGGGAGTATTCCTTTAGGAAACATAGAAAATTCCCAGGAACAGTTTGGACAGACAAGATCATTAATGCCCTCGCTCCCTCTCTACACTTCCCCCCCCAGGTGCCAGGGGTGGTGTGTTCTCCATTGTTATACAATCACTGTGTACAATCCTGAAATCAAAACTTTACATTTCGGGGCTTCCCTGGTGGCGCAGTGGTTGGGAGTCCGCCTGCCGATGCAGGGGACGCGGGTTCGTGCCCCGCTCTGGGAGGATCCCACATGCCGCGGAGCGGCTGGGCCCATGGGCCATGGCCGCTGGGCCTGCGCGTCCGGAGCCTGTGCTCCGCAACGGGAGAGGCCACAACAGTGAGAGGCCCGCGTACCGCAAAAAACCACAAAAACAAAACAACCAAAATTACATTTCTTTAATTATCCCCTAATGTCCCCCTAATCTTTTGTATGGAAGGGCTGTAGGCAAGAGTACTTTCATAGCAAAACATGTTTTATAATCTAACTGTAAAGACATTACGTTTAGCAACTGGCCAGGACAAAATCGTGAATTTTTAAAAATTTTCAAAATGGGTTGACACAACCTCCTGTCCTTTTGTCTCTCTCACTGATCCCGTGAGGAGGCTGGAAAAGCTCATTCTCTTGCACTGAAGAGTCATATGCCTAACGTCTCGTCTCAGTTGTCTCAAAGATCCAGATGCAACAGCCACAACGTACAAAGCCATTTTTAAAATTCCCCCTTTTCCCTCTCTCAGGGACGCTTTACTCAAACGCCTAGCAGTAAACTGACACTCACCAGGGTACCGCACAGCGGCCGGGGAGCTCGGGCGCGAGTGCTGGGAGGGGCTGCAGCAGCAGCAGCAGCAGCAGCAGCAGCCGCCGCCAAGTTGAAGAAAAGCCTGCAGGCCTTTTTCCCCTTCTTGCCTCTAGTTTATCTGAAGCTTTCTCCAGCCCAGAACCTGATTTTACTTGCTTTCTTCCGCTTGTAGGAGAGAGCAAGTCAAACTTTTAACATTTTTTGGCCGACCCAGAGTTCACCTTTTGTAAGGTTTGCATCCTTTCCCCCCAGGCCTGGAGGAAATAACAGACACCAAAGTCAGGAGCTGGCTGCACTCCCCACCCCCACCCCCCGCCACCCCGCTCACATCAGGCAGCACAGCAGAAGCAGCCGAGGATGCAGTGCGCTACCTCCCCTGGATCTGGATCTTTTGTTTTCAAATTCTGTAAGTAACACCTATCACAACAGTCAGTGGCTCAGCTGCTGTTTCATAGCACGGGTACATCCACAGTCAATGAGCACAAAAGGATCGTCATCCCTACTGCTTCATCCTCCCTTTACTCAAACAAGGCTTTCACCGTATTTCAGCGAGTCACAGTCTCGCTAGTGAATCCACAGCTGCCACCACTGTTTCAGATGCCCCAAGACAACCCTTGCTTTTGATGAATTCCTAGGAGGACCCCAAGGACCTAGCACATAGTCATCCTCATGGCTAAGATTTACTGCAGCAAAAGGATACAAAGCCAAATCATCCAGGGGGAGAGGTGCACTGGGCAACATCCGGAGGAAACCAGCGCAAGCTTCCAAGAGTCCTTTCCTAGTAGATAATCACGCAATTTGTCCCTCCGGCAACGGATCATGACAACGTGTGTGAAATGCTGTCCACCAGGGAAGCTCCTGAGAAACCCGGGGCCTAGCACATATCAAGATTTCAGGTTCCCAGGAGGAAAGCAGGTGTTTAGCATAAAACATACTGTTTGGACAGATGGAGGAGTAAACTACACTTCTGAAGGAGGCAACGGTGGGAAACCTCTTGAAATCCAAGTTCTCAGACGCGACGTGAGGGCCAACAAGCCAGCCCTTCTAAGGATTATAGTCTCAGGCCTGCTATGTTAACTCTATCCTGCACAGTACTCAACAGCAAAGCTTCAAAATACATGACCAAGTCAGAACTGGAAGAACTGAAACAAACAAATCTACAAGAACAGCTGGAGACTTCAACAACCTCAGTAATACACAGAACGGAGAGAAAGCAAATTAGAATGCATGGGTGAACCGAATGTTCTCACAGGTATAGAACCCTCCACATAACAATAGCCGAATATACCACATTCTTTTCAAGTGCATATGGAAGTTTCACCAAGGTAGACTATATCCTGGGTCATAAAACAAATATGACCAATTGCAAGATAACTGCAATCATACAAAGAATGTTGTCTGACCAAAAGAGAAAAACCACCGATAAGTAAGCCAAAGTTAGGAGGAAAATCTCCAAACACAAGGAAATTAAATCACATACTTCTAAATAATCCATGGACCAAAGAGCAAGGATCAAGGAAAGTTACAAATTAATTTAAACAACATGAAAATGAAAAAACAACCTACCAAAATCTGCAGGATGCAGGTACAGGAGTGCTTAGCCGTAAATGTACAGCATCAAATGCTTGTATTAGAAAGAATAAAGAACCCAAATCAATAAGAAAGCTTCCACCTTAAGAAACTAGAAAAAGAAAATCCAAATAAATTCAAAGCAAGCAAATAAGGGGAATAGAGATTGGAACAGTTATCAGAAAAAGAATAGAGTTAATCAACGAAACCCAAAGCTGGTTCTTTCAATAGGTCAATACAAATTCATAAACTTCTACCCAGACAGACAAAAAAAAAAAAAAAAAAAGGCATGATAACTAAAGACACAACTTACCAACATCAGGAATGAAATAGGTTACAGATCCCACAGAAATTAAAAGGATTCTATGAATAATTCTACATAACTACTTTTGGCAATTTAGGCGAAATGGAACAAACTATCAAAGCTCAGCCAAAAAGAAACAGATCATCTATTTTTAAAATTGAGTCTGTAGTTGAAAAACTTACAGAAAAGGAATCTCCAGGGCCAGATGGTACCCCTGGAAAATCCTGCCAAACATTTAAGAAGCAATGACAGCAATTCTACGCAATCTCTTCAAGGAAACAGAAGAGAGGGAACACTTGTTGAATTCTTTTTTCAGATTAGCATTACCCTGATACCAAAGTCAAACAAAGACAGTAGTAGCAAATCAAATTCAATATATAAAAAGAATAATACACCACGACCAAGTGAGGTTTATCCCCGAAATGCAAAGCTGGTGCAGCATTAAAACATCAATCAAGCCAGCATAGTAGCATACCAAAGATAAAGAACCGCATGATCGTTATCTGTTGATGCAGAAAAAGTATCTGACAAAATTCAACAGTCGTTCATGATGAAAACATTCAGCTAACCAGGAGTAGAAGGGAGCTTTCTTAACCTGACACAGAGCATCTACAAAAATACCCGCCCCTCCATCCTACTTGATGGAGAGAGACTAAATGCTTTCTCCCTAAGATCAGGAACCAGGCCAGGAGGATAGCTATAAGTCAACATTGTACTGGAAGTCCTAGCCACTCCAGTAAGAAAAGAAAAAGAAACAAATGGTTTAGAGATTGGGAAGGAGGAAATCAAACTGCTCCCATCCACCAATGACATGATTATCTACCTAGAAAATCCCATGAAATCTATTAACAAAAACTCCTATAACTAAGAAGTGAGTTTAACAAGGTCGCAGGATACAAGCTCAACACCAAAATATCAGGCATATTTGCCTGTACTAGCAATGAACAATTAGGAAATTAAAAAAAAAAAAAGACTTGTGCATACCATTTATAATAGCTTCCCCCCAAAACCTAGCAAAACATAAGCAGGATCTGTATGCTCAAAACTACAAAATGCTGAGGAAAAGAAATATAAGAAGACCTAACAAAATGGAGACACATACTGCATTCATCTGTTGAGAAATTCAATATAATTAGGATGTCAATAGTCCCCAAATAGATCCATCAATTTCATACAATTCCAATCACAAATCCAGGCACGGATTTTTTTGTACATATAGACTAACTGATGATAAAATTTCTGGGGTAAGGCAAAGGAACTAGAATAGCCAAATAATTTTGAAAAACAAAGTTGGAGGACTAACACCAACGTCACAATTTACAATGCAGCTTCAACCAAGATATGTAAGCAACTAAGTGGCCATGGAGGGGATGAATGGATATAGAAAATGTGGTGACATATACAACGGAATATTATTCAGCCACAAAAACGAAGAAAATCCTGCCTTTTGCAACAACACGAATGGACCTGGAAGGCTTTATGCTAAGCGAAGTAAGTGAAAGAGAGAAAGACATACTGTATGTTCTACTTATATGTAGAATCTAAAAAAGTCCAACTCACAGTAATAGAGTTTAGAATGGCGGTTGCCAGGGGCTGGGGGAAATGTTGGTCAAACGGTACAAACTTCCAGCTATAAGATGAATAAGTTATGGGGATCTAATGTACAGCATGCTGAGTATAAGGAACAAAACTGTATCGTATATTGAAAGCTAAGAGGGTAGATCTGAAATGTTATCACCACAATTTTTAAAAAGGTAATTCTGTGAGGGGATAGAGTGCTAACTAACCTTATTGTGGTAATCGTTTTGCCCTATCTACGTGTATCAAATCATCACACTGTGCACCTTAAACTTACATGCTATATGTCAATAATACCTCAAAGAAGCTGGAAAAGAGAAAAGAGTCCCCAGCTTTTCCGGTGGGAGAGCCCTCCAGCTATATTCTGTGTCCCCCTGACATCTCCCCATCATTCCTTAACTTTCCCTTATTACTGACATGACAAGTTGAGCCAGGCTCATTAATCCTTTCTCTCCTCAGCCTGGGAACCCAGCATTTAATGGAGAATGGTATTCAGAAGCTAGGATCTAGCGGTAGGTGTACTTATTGTCATTGGGATGTTGCTGTTTTCAGGAAGTTTGGAATATATGTGTGAACACAATCACACACACACACACACACACACACATATATTTCTATATCAATCTATCCACATATGCACACATACCTATTGAAAACCAGGAGTTCTCACGGAGACCTTTAATTCCAGTAGAACTCCTCAGAAGTTGTTCCAGTTTACCTCCTTTCCATATTGGAAATTCCCTCTTCCAAAAGTGACAGACATGGCTCCCACCATCCTTATATATTCACTGAGTTGACAAATCCCAATGCATATAAGCCATCCCTCCTCCACAAAGAGGTCCTCCCCACGTGCTATGCTGAACCATCCCCTGCCCTTGACTTCCACACCTCACTCAAGCCTGAATCCCTGAGCCAGTTAGCCACCTCCCCAGAGAACCCCCAGGGATATCCTCCTTACCACCTTGGGCTCTGACCTCCCAAATTGGGATGCCCCTACACGCATATACTTGCCTTGCCCGGCAACACCTAATGGCTTTAGGACTGAACTGCTCAGGCACAAAAGAGAAGAGAAGGGAAGGGAAAGAAAGGGTAGGGACAGGGGAAAAGTGAATATATCAGTTAATCAAGGTGAACTGGGCCAAATCCAAGCAATATGATGAAGCCAGTGGGTTTTTTTCTCACTGTCCTCCAGCTTCCCCTTCCTGCCTCTCTCCTTTGCCCCAGTTCCTTTCTCATTCTTAAGTCCTGCCCTCCATCAAGAGTAGCAATGTCATGAGGGGCATGATTCCCATATTATAACTGATCTCCACTGGTTGGCTGACATTCAGTGTGGATGGTGTCCTCCCTGCAGCTCTTACACTCAGGCCCTCTGTCTCTCATGATGGACTAGAAAGTTTCACCCCTCTTCAGTAATTTCAGGTGTAAGCAGGAGAGAAGGTGCAGGGCACATCTTGGAGCCTCGGGTCCTTCATCTGTGAAATGGGGGTGACCACAGATTGTGGGACAAACACAGAGAGCAGCACCAGACACCTTTCAATGAGTGCTACGTGCCGGACCCAGTGCATCACAGGACTCCTTGATATCCAGGAGCATGCCAAGTAGACTGCCCCGCCAGGACTGTGGCACCTGCTGTTCCCTCTGCCTGGAATGCTCTTCCTTCAGGAAATCCCACGGCGTGCTCCCTCACTTCCTCCAGGTCTCTGCTCATTCGTCATCCTTCAGGGAGACTTTCCCTGATTACCTTGAATAAAATAATAACATCATCTCCACATACCCTTTCCCCTGGTCCAGCCCTATCTTTCTTCATACATAGCACCTGCCACCCTTGATTTACTTATTGACCAACTCTATGAAATGAGACTTTGTCAGTTTTGTCCTGTCACAAACTCCTCGAATAGTACTCACGTACATGGCAGGTGCTCAGAAAACATTTGCTGAACCATAGCTGGGAGCCGGGCCCTTTACACACACTGTTAACATGCACAGGTACCCTCCAAGGTGGGCACTGGCCCCATTTGATTAATTATGATACGTACTGAGACTCCAGGAGACAAGTGACACCCTCAACAACGCACCATCAGCACGTCGGGTTCCAGGCTTCGGAATCATACCTGCCGGGTTTCCAACTCCCTCAGTTCCTGGACAGAGACCTCACAGCCAAAATGGTAAGAGATTTTACTACTGACACACAAGACCCCAAACAGCTCAGATACTTTACACCTTTAGACAAACCCCTTCCTAAAGCAGCTCAGAGACATCACACCTTGGGACCCAGAATCACAACAGTTCAAAGGCCTCACACGCTGGGGTACAGACATCTACATAAGGGTCTAACACCCAGTGACTCTAATGCCCAAAAGCTCAGAAAATGCACACCCAGGTCTACAAGGACACAAATCCCTACAGACTTTGTACCATGGCTCACAAAACCCACCCAGATAAAATATCCCATTCACCAAAAACTCCCCAAAATGCTCACAGACGCCAAATGTACTCAAACAGCATCTGGGATGTCAGACGTAGCGGTACACATCTCCAAACTGCACGACACACGTTACTTCCCAGGGAGAGACACCAAAAAAGTTTGGTGACCCCTCCTTGGCCTTAATTATATGAATCTGCGCGACTGACCCTGCGGTGCCACACGCTCCAGACCGAGTGAAGGCTAAACAAGACTGTAAGAGCTCGCGGAAAGACACCACCACCGTCACCCTGCACAGCCAGCGACTGCGCCGAACCTCGCCACCGACCCGGGTAGCTAATCAGCCCCTTACGGATAGTCAGTCTTGGAGTAGTCAAACTCGCAGAAAAATGTACACTCTGAAAATGCCCGCGCGCGCACACGCACACGCACACGCACACCTTTCACCCTGAGCGTCAACTCGGCGACCACTGCGCCTGTCCCAGAGAGACAGCCAATGGGAACTGGGCAGGCGAGGAGGGAGGGGCAGGAATAGCGGGATTTCCGGCGCCGCTTGACACCCCGGAAGAGTTTATTCCGGCAATCTCGCGGCGACCAATCGCCGCCCAGAACGCTTTCTCGATTTCGACCCCCCCCCCCACACGCATCCCGGAGCCAATCTCTTGCTCCGTTGCTCTCCCCACCTGGATGTGACCATGCAGAAACGAAGGGGTGACCCTGGAGTAGATAGAAAAGAAGGCTGCAGGCTGAGAACCCGGTGTCCCATCGGCCTCGAATGTGCCGGGAAGATGGAGCGGTTACAATGGGGATGGACCCAGCGGCGCCCTGAGTGCCTCCTCTGGGACCCGTGGTCGATGCCCGACGCGGTGTAAGGGGACCCTCAGTGTTGTCACAGAGCTCAATGGATTATTCCAGAACGGACGCCCCCTCCCGAATGGTTCCTTCCCGACTCGAAGGACTTCCCTCTACCCCTCAGTGGTACGTTCCACGACAGAACCGTTTCATCTCGCGCGCCCCTTGGTGGTGGGATCGGGGAACAGCGGATGTAGATGCCCACGGACCATTGCTGGCCGGTGCCCAAAGGGAGGGAGGACAAAGTTAGGATGAAACCCTCGCAATTCTCTGGAGTCTTGGATTTGGGAAAAAGTCTTCCTACTTGGAAAGTTACCTCCATGCAGTGACACCACTGTAACAGGGAGCACTACAATAAGTTTTCTCTGTGCTGGGCCTTGTGATTGCTTGTGCCTCCCTGGGTAATACAGGATAGGCCTAGTGGGGCAAGCCAGCCACAGTCTCCCAACGGGCAGGAGGGATAAAGCTCCAGACTGGGATCAGAAGGCCTGGTGAGGGGCAGGCCTCTGTCCTTGACTGTAATCGGTGGAAAGGACTACCGTGCCTTCGGTTCCGTTAGGAAAGGGGACATCTCCCAGGGGTCCCAAGGACACTGACTACATGAGATAAAGACCATGGGCTCTGTCACCGTTCTGTTACCCCGTACATGTACCCTAGCGGAATCCTCGCCCTTTCTAGCTATGCCCGTCGGGACAGCCAGTTCTGGAGTGGGCCAACTCAGAGAAATGTACATTCTGAAAATGCCAGCGCGCACACGAACACGCTCCCGCCCTGAACTCCAACTCGGCTACCGCCTTGCGCGGGGAGGGGGAGGGAATAGCGGGACTTCCGGCTCCGCTTTGCGCACCGGAAGAGCTTATTCCGGCCATCTCGCGGCGACCAATCAGCGCCCAGAACGCTTTCTGGCCCCGCAATCCTGGAGCCAATCTCTCGCCCCGTTGCCATCCCCACCTGAATGTGACCAGGTAGAAATGAAGGGGTGAACCGGACACCCCCAAGGAGGTGATACCCCGGGGCGGTGGGGGGAGGAGGTGCTGTTTCTCACTTCAGTCCTGCGGTTATTCTGGTGGGTCTAATGTGAATGTGAAACTGTAGCATGCATCGCAGTCACCTGGAGGGCTTGTTAAAACACTGATTGCTACCCCCCATCCCCGAGTTTCTGATTCTGTGGGTCCTTGGTGGGGCCCGAGAATTTGCATTTCTAACCAGGCTCAGCGTCCCTCCTACACAACTAAGTGGTGGACTCTAGGATTCCTACCTCCCTCCACCACGTTATTTGTGAACTGTTCCTTCCCTTCTCTCCCTCCTTCCTTACCCCCCAACACATCCAAACGAACAGTCTTCATCGCCAGACCCTGAAGATCTTGAAGGGAGCAAAGGTCTAAGCATCCTGTTCACTGCAGCAGAGCGTCTGCCCCAAGAGTGATGTGAGGAGCCAGTAAACAAGCTTTACTTCTCCTGCACCACTGATGGACAGCATCGTGGCAGCATGTATCAAAGTGAAAAATCCTTACAATGCTAGGTCGGTGAGGGCAGAGACTCTTTTTTTTTGTCTAGTACGGCCAGTCTCCCCAGTGCCCAGCACATAGTAGGTGCTCAGTGGATGATTGGTGAATGACTGAGTTTTGACCCAGCAGCTCCACTTTAAAAATGTATAATCAACACACACATTCACAGAGTTGTGTGTAGAAGGAAGATAGTAGCAAACAATTGTGTAAAACCTCTTTATGTCCATTAAGAGTCGATGATGGTTGGGTTGTAAACAAACGGTGAGTGGTTCATGTTATACCATGGAGCACACACTGGCCATGGAACAGCATGAGGGGACCAGTGTGTACTGATCAGAGGGATCTTCTTCAGGACATGCTGTTATTAGGTGGGAGGGGAAGCAAATGGGAGATGCTCATAGTGGGGCCTTCTGTGTGTGTGTGTGTGTGTGTGTGTGTGTGTGTGTGTGTGTTTGTGTGTGGTTTAAATACAGAGAAATATTTTTTGAAAGGAGCAAGGAAGCACCTATAACTAGCCCCACTGGTAGGCCCAGGAAGCAGAGAATGTGGAGGAATGTGATGACCTGTGTAGTCCATGTACTGATGTACTAATGGAATCTTTCACAGCAGCCACTTGTTCACGTATTATTTGAATAACTCTGTCTAAAGCAAAGTCATGTGGTGAAAACAATACCTGTACCACAGAGCATTTTTGTGTGAGGGCATCTGGAGGGTCTCCAGCAACAGGGTTCTCAAATTTACACGCCCCAGGGCCAGGCAGTTATTGTGCATTAGGGAGCGCAGCTCATGTGAGGGTAGGGAAGGGCAGCACATGGGTATGGTAAATGTTCCCTGCCAATCGGCTTCCGGTGTGGGTACGATAGAGAAGATGGGGCTGGTGCAGACCCCAGACCCTCACAACAACCTCCTCAGCATCATAAATAGTGGTAATTGTCAGGATATCGACAGTTGTTACATCTTTACACTGATGTAAACTCCTTGGGAGCATCCCTCAACCTCTTCATCACAGGACACACACACATGTCAGACGAGTAAGATAACCGATCCTCTGAACACAGCATTCAAGGACTAATTAAGACTGACTTAGGAATTGGTTCTGCCCATGATGAATGAGCAGGTTTGGATTTATCCTCCCACTTTAAGTAACTAAAACTTTGGAAGTGACGGTCTTCAGATGCACTACAACAGGCATGCAGGATGCTGATACCTGAGAAAAGGGGGAAAATGAGGTGAGCACTACACTTTCCCCCAGCCTACTTCTGGAGAGGATTTCCAGGCATCAGTGCAGGGAGCGGGAACCCAGGCAGAGGCCAGCGTGTGGGTACGATAGAGAAGATGGGGCTGGCGCAGACCCCAGACCCTTACCCTGTCTGAGGGGGCATCCACAATGCTGCTATTGCCTACTATCTTTGTGCAGGAATGAGACCCCTGCATGGGCAGGGGTTGTGATTTTCCCAGAGAAGCCGGAAGTCTGGGTTCTTGTCATATTCTTCTTCTTTTTTTTAATGATAGAAATTAAATTCACAAAAATTGTGGTTCAGTCTATCTCTGTGTAAGTCATGTAGAACAATATGTCTGGGAGCAGGATTGAGTCTGAGCGCTCCTTTTTGGAGCCCTTTTAGAAGACAGCAGGAGCTCAGGAAATGGTTTGTGAAGTAATGAATGAGTGAATGAATGAACGAACAAATTCAGGAGTTAACATTAACATCCAGAAGGGTCCTTGTTCTCAGCCAGTGATGTTCCCTCTGATTCCCATACAGTCCTCTTTCTCCTCCGTTCCTAGGGTCCTCAGTCGACACTCCAATCCCCCGCGTCGGTAGGCATCATCGCTGCCCTTCAACCCCTTCGTCCACTCGGTGTATCTTCCCAGTACTCACTGCCCACAGCAGCCCACTCTGATTCCTTCTTCTACTTTTCAGCCCCAGCAGAGCCCCATCTGGAATAGATCTCTCCACGGCCCAGCCCGAACACTGGCACTGGTTCTGGCATTTTCCTGAGTGTCGATCTCAGCTTGTCCTCTTCATATCAGCTGTGTGACTGGTTCATTCCCTTTCTCTCTCTGTTCCTCCACCTTCTCCACTGTGTAATAGTATCAATCCGCACAAGCTTTCACGAGGTGTAAGTGAGATGATCCCAATAAGAGTTTTCGTAGGGCCTGGCACAGAATAAATGTGAGATAAATATTAGCCAGTATTATTAATGTTTTTGTCATTATTATTGTTTCCAGAGATGCTCTATTTTAACCATCAGTTAACTCCTTCTAACATCCTTGGGAGGTGGTTATTATTATTAATCACTATTTTACAGATGAGTAAACTGATGTACTGTGCATCAGCTCACTAACTTACTCAAGCTCACCAGAGGGGGAAACACCATACTCATACCCAGGTCTGTCTGGTCACAGAGCTCCTGCCCATTACCCCTGTCTGTGCCTTATTCCACATCAATGTCAGTGACAGCAGTAGCCACTGACATCAGAAACACAGTCAAAGCCAATCAAGACCGCCTCTGCGTAATCCCGGAAAGAAATGTGGTCCCCACCGCATGAATTGGAAAGACCAGATATTCGGAGTACTCTCAGTCTCAGTGACCACTCCTCTCTGTGCATGTCCTGTGGGCTGGAGAATCCATCCTGTGGGTCTTGTCCTCCAGAGACCTCTTAGTCACCTGCAGGATCATGTCCAAGGCTGAACCCACCTCTGCCTGCTGCTGGGCAAGGCATTCTGAGGCCCCACGTTCTAGGAATCCTCTGCCCCTTGCCCCAGCTGACCCTTCACAACCTCCTTCCTGGCACTCCCTCCTTTGCGTGGCTGCAACAGGCCACATTCACCCCTGATTCTGCTAATAGAACAATGGGCAAGGAGACTGAGGTATCAAAGAGTTAGACAGCTTGCCCAGGGTCTCTCCACTAGTTCATGGCAAAGCCTGGATTCACACACTGTGCTCTCTGACTCTGTCCTGACGTAAAACAACATTCTCTTCCG